ACCCACTTATGAAGCATAATTTCCTTTTATATAATAACCCTTTTTTTATGGGCATGCGTGGGAATATAAACCTACTTCTCAAGTCACAAATTAAAGAAACTTGTTCTTCTAAAACTTCTAAAATTTGTGGTTTTTTTAAATATATTTTATTTCATTTTTTAAAAACAACACGTGGGAATATAAACCTACTTCTCAAGTCACAAATTAAAGAAACTTGTTCTTCTAAAACTTCTAAAATTTGTGGTTTTTTTAATATATTTTATTTCATTTTTTAAAAACAACATTACAAAAAAAGATAGACGTATGAAGTAGAAATTATGTGATAGTAAAACCAAATTCGGTTTTGTTAAATAAAAATGCGATAAAATTTTATTAGATCATTAGGAATTTTATTCGATCAATAGGAATAAACACTACCAAAGGTATATATAGAGAGAGACAGATTAAATGACTTGAAAGAATAAAGCATGAGGGTAATGCTATATAAAGTTAAAATTGTCACTAAATTCAGAAATTTAGTACCTCACAAGCGCTAAGTTAATGCGCATATCACGTAGACTTGAACTTTAAACCAAAGATTTCTGTGTGCTGCTAATAGAATGACACGCTTTGTAACGAATTTAGAAAAGAAAATGGGTGATGTGCCAAATTAGAAAAAGTTATTAAAATTAAATGTGTGCCTTCGCCAACAGTTTCACGAGAAATGTTTATATATTCTAGGTACATCACGTGGTAAAAGAGAGTATACATTATTTGATAAGATGTTTGTGTTTAAAATTGTGTCCTTTCAAGGTTGTGAATACTTTGAATTTTTCGACCAAAAAAAAAAAATTTGAATTTAAATTTTGGATACGATATGATCTCTTCTTCTTTTTTTTTCCAGATAAGTATATAATCTCCTGACTCAAACCGAAATGACTAATACATTCCAAAATCATTTAACCACAAATGATCTCATTGGATTTTACATTCAATTCCAAAAAAAATTAAAAGGAAACAAAGGAAAGAAGCACTTCATGCCACAATCAGATTTGTATGAGGCAAATAAGATAGACCAAATGATAATGTGGATTAGTCCTTTCTAAATTGGGGCGAATTTGTTAATTGAAGTTCTAAATATAGAAGAAATGATAGGGAAGAAGATAACCATGCTTCAAAAGTGACTAAAAAGATTATTTCCGTGATGACGCCGAAAGCCCCTCATAATTAAGTCAATATTATTGTTTTAAAGTTATGTACCAAAAATAATAATATTCACCACCTCCGCCCAAATATTTAGACTTCTTTCAACACTAAGAAGAAAATTACCACTTATTTCAAAGCTAGTAATGTATCTTTGAAAAAAATGTTGATTCTAATTTCCCCAATCCCAACTCATAACAGTGAGAAGGACGGTCAACCCAGCACTAATATTTTACTCATCCCCTCACATATATATTTGACAATTGACATGTTCTGCCCCTAGCCCTGCCGTTAAAATCAAATTCCAAACAAATTCCCACTTTCCAATTTCAAAGTTTTTTTAATAATCAAATAATGATATTCATTATAAAACTTGAGCAATATATTAAGCAAGGTGATTTTCCCACTCACTCTTTCTCCACTTACACCCCCTTTTGCTTTTTAATACTTTTTAATCAATTTTGTTTTTTTTTTGTTCTTTCTCTTTCCTATTCTACCCTTACCCTACAAATCCCTTTAATAAGAAAATATGTACAATCACTTACTAATATTATGAAAGAATAAAAATATGAGACTATTATGCATACCTTGCTCTCTTCATATCTAACCTCTTAATGACAATTTGGTTAGCAGCGTTCTTTGGGTCTTCTACCTGTAAACATGTTAGCTCAAAAAAATTCTTATCTATTAACTAAAACAAATACTCACATACTTGGTTTAAAAATAAAAATAAAAATTAGCGTACAAATACTTACATTATTTCTATCAATTTCCAAAATTTATTTTTGTTTTTTGTTATATTTTTTGTTAACTTTTCTTAATTTCAGTTATTAAAACTTTAATGTAGGGTAAGGGTAGAATAGAAAAGAGACAACCCAAAAAGGAAAAGGGAGTGTAAGTGGAGAAAATGGGAGTGGAAAAATCAGCTCTCTATATTAAAGATACATAGGAAAAATCTTGGGTTTGCCCTGTGTACAAGACACGAATCTCAAAACAACCCAAAAAGGAAAAACAACCCAAATGGAAAACTAAATCGGAGAAAATCTATAACATTTGGTTAAAGGGGAATGCTAGCAACTTCTCTCTAACCTTCTCTCTTGGACCTTCTCCATTTTTCTCATGACATGTGTCACTTTCCTTGCATTTCAAACAATGTCATCAATGCATCACACAAACTAAATTTTCTTTTCCAAATTAACCCTTAGTAAATGATTTTTATTTTTATTTTTACAACAAGCTAGTATTTTAACATCTTTCTTTCCACCTATTAAAAAATTAAATAAGAAAAAAAAAGGTTTTTATATATAAAAAACTGTTTGATTTTTGTTTTTTCCAAAGAATACATATGTTGCTAATAAAACCTTCAGTCCTTGCATAACTTTCTTTCCACCATATTAAAAAATTAAATAAGAAAAAAAGTAGGTTATATATATATATATATATATAATTTGCCTTTTCTTTTTCCAAAAGAATACAGACTGTAATAATAAATTTTTGTCCTAGCATAACATGAACTTCTTTTGTGCTTAAAAAAAAAAGGTTCTCACTCAAGAAAAACAACACACTTTTTATTTTCAAAAAAGAAAACTGACGTTTTAAAAAAAAACAAATAAGGTTGTAAGAAAGTTAAAATTAAAATAAAAATCAATACATTTAATAAGGGTAAATTTGGAAAACAAAATTTAGCTTATGTTATGCATTTATGACATTGTTTTAAGTGTATAGAAAGTGACACATGTCATGAGTAAAAGGGAGAAGGTCCAAAGGAGAAGGTTGTTAGCATTTCCTTTAGTTAAAATGTAACGCCATAATTGCCTTTTGCCCTCCCAACCAAATAATATTGCTCCCAAATTTGTTTATTTTTTCTTATTTTAAAAAGCTAGCTTAACACTCACAGTGTGTTCCAATTTTAAAAAAATTACTGCTATTTTCACCCCTTGTACTATTTCCCTACCCACCTTATCTTCCCACCTACCGTGTAAATTTGAAAAAAACACAATCACTTACTAATATTATGAAAGAATAAAAATATAAGACTATTATGCATACCTTGCTCTTTGCATATTTAAGCTCTTAATGACAGTTTGGTTAGCAGCATTCTTTGGGTCTACTTGTAAACATGTTAGCCCAAAAAATTTATTATCTATTAACTACAACGGAGATAAATAGTACTCACATAATTGGTAAAAAAAAAAAGGAAAAAAAGAATTTAGTGCACAAATACTTATATTTCAATCCATTTCCAAATTTTTTTTTTGTTTTTTGTTTTATTTTCTGTTAACTTTTCTTAATTTCAGGTATCAATTTCTTAATGTAGGGTAAGGGTAGAATAGGAAAGAGAAATAACAGAAAAGAACAATATTGATTAAAAAGTATTAAAAAGCAAAAGAGAGTGTAAGTGGACGGGTAGTGGGAAAATCAGCTCTCTATATTAAAGACACATAGAAAAAATCTTGAGTCCACCCCTGTGTACAAGACACGTATCTCAAAACAACCCAAAAAGGAAAAACCGACCCAAAAAGGAAAAACAACCAAAAATGGAAAACTAAATCGGAGAAAATCCATAACATTTGGTTAAAATGTAACACCATAATTGCCTTTTGCCCCTCCCAACCAAATTAATATTTCTCCCAAATTTGTTTATTTTTTCTTATTTTAAAAAGCTAGCTTAACACTCACAGTGTGTTCCAATTTTAAAAAAATTACTGCTATTTTCACCCCTTGTACTATTTCCCTACCCACATTATCTTCCTACCTACCGTGTAAATTTGAAAAAAACACAATCACTTACTAATATTATGAAAGAATAAAAATATAAGACTATTATGCATACCTTGCTCTTTGCATATTTAAGCTCTTAATGACAGTTTGGTTAGCAGCATTCTTTGGGTCTACTTGTAAACATGTTAGCCCAAAAAATTTATTATCTATTAACTACAACGGAGATAAATAGTACTCACATAATTGGTAAAAAAAAAAAGGAAAAAAAGAATTTAGTGCACAAATACTTATATTTCAATCCATTTCCAAAATTTATTTTTGTTTTTTGTTTTATTTTCTGTTAACTTTTCTTAATTTCAGGTATCAATTTCTTAATGTAGGGTAAGGGTAGAATAGAAAAGAGAAATAACAGAAAAGAACAATATTGATTAAAAAGTATTAAAAAGCAAAAGAGAGTGTAAGTGGACGGGTAGTGGGAAAATCAGCTCTCTATATTAAAGACACATAGAAAAAATCTTGAGTCCACCCCTGTGTACAAGACACGTATCTCAAAACAACCCAAAAAGGAAAAACCGACCCAAAAAGGAAAAACAACCAAAAATGGAAAACTAAATCGGAGAAAATCCATAACATTTGGTTAAAATGTAACACCATAATTGCCTTTTGCCCCTCCCAACCAAATTAATATTTCTCCCAAATTTGTTTATTTTTTCTTATTTTAAAAAGCTAGCGTAACACTCATAGTGTGTTCCAATTAAAAAAAATTGATGTATTTCCACCTCTTGTATTACTTCCCCACCCACTACGTAAATTTGAAAAACCACAATCCTAGCTTTCTCCTAAAGGTGGATTTCATATATTTAATTTGGTCTTGTTTCATTTTTCCATTTTGCTGTTCTAATAATTTTCTTTAAAGGAAAGTTCAGCTAAAAAAATCTTAATAGTATCCAAGTTGAATTAGGAGATATTTCATTGAAAAAGTGAGCGGGGAAATAGAAGAGGGTGAAAATAACAGCACTAAAAAAAAATTGTTAACAGGCCAGGCCTTCTCTGGCCATTATAAATGGGGTGATGGCTGCTTGGTTCGCATTAAGACCACACTCTCTCTTTTCCTTCTGTTTGCTCTTGTTCTTGTTTTATCAATCTGATCAACTCTGCTAATCATTTTCCACCACATACATAGCCATGGCCGCGGTTCTCTTAACAACTCTGCTAATTATGTTTGTTAGCTTGTTAATAAGAGTTGCTTATGATACTCTCTCATGCTACTTTTTAACCCCAAGACGCATCAAGAAAATCATGGAAAAGCAAGGGGTGCGTGGCCCTAAACCCCGCCCTCTCAACGGAAACATCTTGGACATGGCCTCCCTTGTCGCCAAATCAACTTCTCATGACATGCAAACTATCAGCCATGACATCGTCGGCCGCCTCTTGCCCCATTACGTCCTCTGGTCGAAGCAATATGGTTTGTCATTTCGTTTCGTTTTCTAATCGTATAATTTAATCAATCACATAATTAATCAATGAAGCTTATGTGGTTTGCTTGGTATTTGAATTGGGTTATAGGAAAAAGGTTCATATATTGGACTGGAATTGAGCCCCGGATGTGCCTGGCCGAGACTGAGTTGATCAAGGAGCTTCTGTCCAAGTACAGCACCATCTCTGGTAAATCCTGGCTTCAGCAGCAAGGCTCCAAGCATTTCATCGGCCGCGGCCTACTAATGGCCAACGGCGAAGACTGGTATCACCAACGCCACATCGTTGCACCGGCATTCATGGGAGATAGACTCAAGGTACATACACACAACAATGTTTGTTTTGTGTTAATTATGGTAACAAATTATTTATTGGTTTTGATTTAATTTGATGTATGCTTGCTTTTTATTAGAGCTATGCGGGGTACATGGTGGAATGCACTAAAAAGATGCTCCAATCGCTACAAAATGAGGTAGAGACTTCAGGAGGGAGGGAGTTTGAGATAGGAGAGTACATGACAAGGCTCACGGCAGACATAATTTCAAGAACAGAGTTCGATAGCAGCTACGAGAAGGGAAAGCAGATTTTTCGACTGCTCACTGTTCTGCAGCATCTATGCTCTCAAGCAAGCAAGCATTTGTGCCTTCCCGGAAGCCGGTGAGTAGAACATAAGATATTTGAGGTGCATTTTGGGAGCATATTTATTTGGTTTCGTTTGCTATTTGATAAATAATAAAAGAGCCAATATATATCGTTTACGTGGTCACGTTTTCTTGTTCCTAATTTCTTTACTCGATTCCATTTTTTTTCCAATAAGCTTCTTTGTGTGTGGCCATTTGTTTTATGCTTATTATAGTTAATATAATTTGTTCTTTGTCAATTGTCAATCACTTTCAGGTCAGTTGTTGTGCTAGCTGCTCTTTAAATTGAGTCATGACAGATGTGCTAATTGTATGTCATGATACTTATTAATTTATAATATTTTTCAGCAATATTAATTTATAATATTTCTCTGCAATTTTAATTGGTTTTTCAGGTTTTTCCCAAGTAAATACAACAGAGAAATAAAATCCCTGAAAATGGAGGTGGAGAGGCTGCTAATGGAGATAATACAGAGTCGAAAGGACTGCGTGGAGATCGGCCGGAGCAGCTCTTATGGGAATGATTTGCTGGGGATGTTGCTTAATGAGATGCAGAAGAAGAGAGGGAATGGTTTTAGCTTAAATTTGCAGCTGATCATGGATGAATGCAAGACATTCTTCTTTGCAGGACATGAAACCACTGCCCTGCTTCTCACTTGGACTGTCATGTTACTAGCCAGCAACCCCTCTTGGCAAGAAAAGGTTAGGGCTGAGGTCAAGCAAGTCTGCAATGGTGGAACTCCCTCTGTTGATCATCTCCCCAAGCTCACTTTGGTAAGCAAGCTTGCTTACTTACTCTGTATCTTTCTTAATTATTTTTATTGCTACTTTTTAGTTTTTTTTTTGGGTGGTTTGGTATGGTGGGCATTTGGGCATTTGTTTTTGAAGGGTCATGAACTGAAATTACCAAAAAATTAAGGTAGTGTGGGTAGGGAAAAGATATAACAGCCAGCCACTAAGCAATGCTTCCAAAACTTGAAAACAAATTACTCTGTTCTTTCTAAGTACCTCTTCATACTGGCATTGAGCAAGAGGTATTTAAAAACAACGTGGGAAAAAGTAGTGGCCCCTAGTCTACTACCCCTTGACATAGGCTCTCCATATTAATTTTATGGTTCTACTTAATTAGCAGAAGCCTAATTAAAAAAACCCAGAACACCAAAATGAATATTTTATAGAGGCTTAGCTGGTAAAAAGGCTTGGCAGTGGCAGTGCCCTGCATGTCTAGGTCCTGCCTTTAATTATATCTTTAATTTATGTGTTCTTTTCTGCAATCATGTTGATGTAGCTGAGTTTATTGGTCAGATTAATAATTTTTATTTTTATTTTTTGCAGTTAAATATGGTAATAAATGAATCACTGAGGCTGTATCCACCAGCAACTGTTCTGCCTCGAATGGCCTTTGAAGACATCAAACTTGGTGACCTCCATATTCCAAAGGGCCTATCAATATGGATACCTGTTCTGGCCATTCACCACAGCGAAGAATTATGGGGGAAAGATGCAAATGAATTTAACCCTGAAAGGTTTGCTTCCAAGTCATTCACCCCCGGGAGGTTCATCCCATTTGCTACCGGTCCTCGAAATTGTATTGGCCAATCTTTCGCCATGATGGAAGCTAAGATCATATTAGCCATGTTAATCTCCCGGTTTAGCTTCACGATTTCGCCTAATTATCGCCATGCTCCTGTTATTGTCCTCACCATCAAACCTAAGTATGGGGTTCAAGTATGCATGACCCCTATAGACCCTTCGACTTAGCATACTGATTTTGGAATTAGAGTGCATGGATGAGTTTGTTATGTGAGGAGCTAGGAGAGCTTGAGATGGAATTTTGGTCATCATTCTTCTTGTAATTTTGTTCTTTCTTGAGTTATACATAGTAAAGAGATGGGGATTGGAATGATGTTTGCGGATTAACCAAACGAGTTAGATGTCAATAAAAATGAAAATCACAGTGATTTCAACCGAAAAATAGATCACATTGATTTTACTTGCTTTTAGCCATCCTTGTGAATGAATCGACAATCTAATTGACAATCTAATCAAATAATTCTTGTTTAATTTGAATATGTGGTACAGATTAACAGTTTTGAGGTCAAAACTTGAATTGTAAGTCTAATCAACAATCTAATCAAATAATTATTGTTTAATTTGAATGTGCGGTATAAATTAACAGTTTGGAAGGTCAAAATTTGCATTTTAATAATGAGAGGATACGCATAAAAACGATATGATTAAAGCAAGAAAAACACATACAAAGGGATGAGTTATTAAGGGTTTCTTCTTTAGCTTTGATGGCCCATGAAACTTATATATGAATGATAGATTGATTCTTTTTATTCTATCGGAATGATTTTAACAAAGTGCTTATCTTTCAAGATTAATTAAAATAAGCCAACTCGCATTTGACAGGGGGTAGGTAGGGTCAGGATCTTCCTTTCAAAGGAGACTCTTGTGCATATATAAATATAGAGTGCTTTGGCAGCCATCCCATCATCTGCATACACCAATCTCTAATTCTTTTGCGTCTCCCACTACTCAATTTTTTCTCAATTGTTTTGTTGTCAACTACCATTTATATATTTATCTTCTCTGTCATTGTCTAATGCACTGCATACGAGAAATTCCAATGCCGCACTTTTAAATGCGGCCTTCTATAAGAAACAGGGACACACCCCCACCCCCACCCCCAATCTCGAAGTTTATGAACCAATTGCTATTTCTTATTGTTCCAGAATTAAATTCATGTATTCGACCCATAAAGTCAATGAGATTTTATCTTAATTCCTTTTTTAAAAAGTTTCTTTTACACAAGAGTATGATTTAGATTATGAACTTTCAACTCCGTCCTCGTTTACAATCTTTACTAAAAAGCATTTATCAATGAATGATACTTATCGTGAAAATATTTTTATTTTTATTTTTGAATACAAACGATAGTTTAAATTATAAGGGAAAAATAAATTTCTCACACATACTACCAACGTGTCATGAAATTTCAAACCTAAGACAATTGGTCACAAGTCAAGGCCATCTTCCATTGAGTTAAACTTCATTGGCTCTTTACTTCTATTTTAGTATTCATCTCATCTTAATTATTACGAGGATATATTCAAACTTACATAGTCATCTTCCAATGATGTAAAGATAATATCACTAAATAAGGGTCATGAAAAATTACATCCATAAAAGAAAAGATGAATTACTTGTGTGTACATCACATATATATCGAATCGAATGCATGGATAGAGTTGAAAAAGAATCTAAAATTTCCAAACATCATAATGGATAGAGTTGAAAATAAATAAAAGGCTTAAATGTTAAAATGATCCCTGTGTTTTACCCATTTGGCCAATTTAGTTCCCGTGTTTTCAATTTGGTCGATTTAGTCCTTGTGTTTTACTTCGTAAGTCAATATTATCCATTTCGTTAAATTGCTGTTTAAAAAAATCATAAATGTTATTTAAACTAATTAAAATATATATATAATTATTTAATAAAACATAAAATTTCAATTTAAAAATAAAAGACCAGCCACCACATTCTAAGGGGAAAATGGCTGGGTGGGATGGATCATGATGGTTTGGTGTCGGCTGCTGGAGAGAAGAAAAGGGTTTAGAGGTTGGGTTTCCAAATTTTTTTTTTAAATTTAAAATTTTCTTATTTTGTTAATATTTTTTAAAAGAAACAAAAATAAACACAAGGCAGTGCAACAATAGGCTAGCAGGTAAGCTTAGTAAGATAAAGGATAAGCATGATTGCAAGAGCCAACAATCCATTTGTTTCTGTTCATCCTTCTTTTCATGGCTGTCAGGACCCTTTTGCTCTCGCTAATGTTTTCATCCACCCCATGAATTATATTATGGGCATGTAGAAGAGATTGGCGGCGTTGATGCAAATCGGATAAGTTTTTTATTGGAGGATTTGAATCGGTGGTGATCAATCAAAGAATTTGAGGCTTGCAGGCCTTTATTTTGTTTATCATTAAAGTGAACTTGTAATTTCTTTCTTTATTTAAAACAATTACAGTTTTTCTATTATTAATTTTTAAAACTTGAATGAACTTTTTTAACAATAATTTAATGGAATGGACAACATTAGCTAACGGAGTAAAACACAAGGACTAAATCAGCCAAATTAAAAACACGGGAACTAAATTGGCCAAATGGTTAAAACACACGGACTATTTTGACATTTAAGCCTAAATAAAAATTACAAAATTTGTGTTCCTTTGATCCGAGAGTGATATATAGAGCTAAAATATGCATATCCCTATAATAAAAAAAGTTAGTACATATATATTTATCATAATTAAGAAATCAAAACTTTATCGATTTGCATATTAGAGAAGATCATGAAGAGTATGATGTATTTTTTAACCCGTGTGATTCAAAATCTTCCTGAAAATGTAACATAATGTATAGAAAAAGATAGGCAGCTAGGCGGTTCAAAAGAAACTTTGTATCAAATGATTATAGGCTTATTTACTGTTTCACCTCTGGAACTCAAGCTCGGTCTCACTTAACCCCCTTAAACTTAAATTTGCTCACTTAACCACCCATTCTTCCACTTTGTTTAAAATGTTACCTCCTTTGCTCAACGACGTCCCATTAACTCGTTAAATGAGCTTGCGTGGCCGATAAAGTGGGCTAATTCACACACGTGGTGGTGCTGATGTGGCGAGGGGCGAATGTTGTCTCAAAGAAGGGAACTAAAAGGGGTTATTATTTGTCGATTAGGGTTCAAAATAGCTGGGGATTTTGGGATTTTGGCATAGGAAAATGGTGCGACGACAAGAGAACATACCTTATATTTGCCAGTGTGGGAATCCATGTTGGGTGGAGACATCGTGGATTGAAGCTAACCTAGGAATGAGGTTTCAATTCTGTCGAAGGGTAATGAATTGACATATTTATTGATTTTTGTTGGTTTTTCAATTTGAATATGTGTATTTTTCCGATGTTGATATATAGGTTGATTGATACAAGGGAGGAACAATGGATGTGTGCATTTTGAGTGGTACGATCTTGAGATGTGCCCCTGTTCTAAGGCCATCATACTAAGGTTGCTAAGGAATCGTATAAGACTGGAAGAAGAAGTGGATGTTCTTCGAGCAAAGCAGAAGAAATTGTGGGCAGTTTTGGTTGTTAGTTGGTTTCTTGTTTTTGCTTGGGTTTTGTGGTAGACCTCATGTGTTTCAGTGTTTTGGCTAAAGACTAGCTTGAGGCATATGTTTGAGTGAAGTTTGTAATGTTAAAGAAATGGAAATGAAACATTTGAAGCACTTTGGTAAATTATAACCTTACATAGCAGCTTGGTTATTTTTTCCCTAACCAACTCTTTACATTACAAGCACAAGCAGTTTGGGCAGTTACATTACCTAAGCAACTTAATATACAACAAGCACTAAACTTAACATAACAAGCAGTGAAGGGAAATTACAACCTTGCATTGATAAATCTCCAAATTACAAGCAATTTGACAAATCTTTTCTAAGCAACTTACATTCCAAGCACAAAATATACACATCCAAGCACAAACCTTGTGCAATAGTGTCCAAAATTTACATTCCAAACTAGTTACATTCCAAATCAGTTTCCATCCAAACTAGTTACAAAAAACCATCCTAGCACAAAATACCAATGATTATGTGAATATTTCTTTCTCTTTAATGGATACGTGAATCTCCTTTTAACAGGTGGAGTATGGTTGTGATTGAAGAACTTGTGGAGTAGGTTGTGAGTGCACTCGACTTGGTCCAACTTGTGAGTGCACTTCACTTTGAACAGATTGTGAATGCACTTGACTTGGAACAGGTTGTGAGTGCACTTCACTTGGTCCAACTTCTGACTGCACTCGATTTGGTTCAATTGGTTCACTATGTGTGTGAATTGGCCCACTTTCCCTGCAATGCAAGCTCATTTAACAGGTCAATAGGATGACATTAAGCAGAAGGGATAACAGTTTACATGATGTGGGAGAATTTGTGATTAAGTGAGGAAATTTGAGTTCAAGAGGGTTAAGTGAGGCCGAGCTCAAGTTCCAGGGTGAAACAATAAATAAGCGATGATTATATATGAGGAATTTCACCAAATCTAAGTTAGAGGAAGTTGACCATGGCCGCATCCTTGTACAATAAGGAACCCAATTTTCAATTACATGCAAGCTTAAATATTTTACAAAACAAATTCAATTGAATTAATTATCTTCTACATTCCTCTCCTGTGTATAGGATCCAGCGTTCACACATACTTGTTTTTATTTATTTTATTTTATTTTATTTATTTTATGATGACATGCTTATGTTAACATGAGATGCTCAAGGGTTTTAAAGATTAGAAAATTTAGCTTAACCTCTTGAAAGTCATTTTTTCTCATCTACAATCTATTTCTTTATTTTTGTTTGAATAAAACATGTTTTTTCTAAATAAAACCCGATGACTAGGATCCGACTTGGCAAGTTACCTAATTAAGCACAAAATTGAATTTAATATGTAATTTTTTGATTCCTAAAATACCCTCAACTAAGCCATTATTGCATTTTGTATATTAATGTAGGAACCAATATAGAAACAAATTTTAATTGGATTGTAACTAATGACACACGTTGAATTTGGAAAGATCCCCAAATGGATGTAGAAATTAATTTCGAAACTTTTTTTAAATGTAACAATAAATTCATATTTAACATACCTAATCGGTTGATTTAATAAAAAGAATGTTTTTTTAAATGTATTTATGAAGTGTACTTGATTAATTATCTATTATATTATTGTTTTATAAATATAATAGCATACATACATTTTCATGTTGAAAAAATAACGTACCTATTACTTCTTTTATGAAAAATAATGTACCTAGTATGAATTTATTTATTATTCAAATAATATACCCAACTTTTAT